AAAATATTAGATTTGAGAAACTTCAAAACAATCTTAGCATCACAAGTTCTAGTAGGAATGGCTTCAATCCACTTTGAAACATAATCAACACCAAGTAATATGTACTCAAAACTAAAGGATGGTGGAAAGGGACCCATGAAGTCAATGCCCCAAACATCAAAAAATCTCACAAAATAAAATGGGTTGTTGAGGCATTTCATGTCTCTTACCCCAACTACTAACCTTTTGACATTTCAAGCATGCTTTACAAAATTCATAAGAGTCTTTAAACAAGCTAGGCCAATACAATCCACAATCTAAAACCTTCCTAGCTGTCTTATTTGAGCTAAAATGACCACCACATGCATGAGAGTGACAAAATTCAAGAACAGAAGGCACATCAACATCATCAACACACCTCCTAATCACTTTATCACTACAAATCTTCCACATCAAAGGTGGTTCCCAAATGTAAAATCTAGACTCTCTTTTCAATTTTTCAATGGCAAAACGTGAAGCACAAGGAGGCAAGACTCTACACTCAATATAGTTAGCAAAAGAGGCATACCATGGAGGCTTAGATGAAATGGCACACAATGCCTCATCAGGAAATGAATCACAAGGAATAGTAGGGTTAGAGTTTACCATAGTAGCTTTTAAATGAGGTAGTCTAGACAAATGATCCGCTACTTGATTGGTAGAACCACTCCTATCCTTATCTCCACATCAAATTCTTGCATTAAGATCACCCATCGAATCAAGCGAGGCTTAGAATCTGTCTTCTTAAACAAGTACCTCACAGCAGCATGGTCAGTGTACACAACAACTTTAGAGTTAAGAAGATATGATCTAAATTTATCAAGTGCAAAAACAATAGCAAACAACTCTTTCTCAGTTGTGGTGTAATTAACCTGAGCTGAATCTAGGGTCCTAGATGCATAAGCAATCACATATGATAACTTGCCCTCTCTTTGACCAAGCATAGCTCCCACAGCAAAATTAGAAGCATCACATGACAACTCAAAAGGTAAAGACCAATTTGGGGCTTTAAGAATGGGAGGGGAAATGAGCATGCTTTCAAAGTGTCAAAACTCCTTTTGCAAGCACATCAAAAACAAAATCAACATCTTTTTGTAAGAGTTT